ATGATAAAACGAGCAAGGGGACATTGTAAGTTGCCTACTTTTATAAGACAAAAGAGGACATATAGAAAGTAGATATTTCACCTTTTCTCACGTCCCTTGCTCCGCAAAATCCACTTATATGTTTTTATATTTAGATGAATGGATGGATCTCGCTAAAATTTGGCATAGATGTAGAACGTAGTCTTTTTTTTTATAACAGAACGGGGCAAACGAGCAGTGGGAACACCGAGGTGTTCAACGACGCCCATGGACATCAGCAATACCAGAGGAACCGCAGATGCGTTGCCGGCCAGTCTGGAAGAATGCAGAAACAACTTAACTTTTCTTTAAATCCTGCACGGACGGAGTTACAGTTATCTTTGTATTCTATGCTAACTGAAGCCTAATTTTAGTCCTCTTCCCTAGTGGGGGAGTGGGGAATTAGATTTGACACAGGAGAGAAGGTGTAGGTAGGGGAAATATATTTCTATGCGTCCCCTACTCCGTCGATTAAAGGTTAGCAACGTTTCGGCAATTACGGATGTCTATGGGTAACAATCATTTTGCTCTTTCTGCGGATTCAGGTCGCTGCGTGCGTTTGTCACTTTATGATATAAAAAATAATAGGTATATGACACATTAACCGTAGAATTCCACTTAAGTCAAACGGGCGGTGAGTACACCGAAGTGATCAACGACAAAACAGAAATAAAATGTTTTAAAATAAGTGTTACTGCTGTAGGAACCCACGGTAAGATAATTTTCTAGCAATAAAACTGATCGTGAAGATATTTCTTGTATAATAGGCACTGTAGAAGATTTGCAAAAGTTGTAAAAACAAATACAAATGCTTCTTAAAAGAAATCAGTCACTCAATCTTCAGCGGCTGGTTTTAGTATCTTGCTAAATGGATACTTATTCTTTATTGATGGGATTATGTTGTGTATTATTTACAATGATTTTTATTATGTACTATCATCAAAAGAATAAAACAACTAGAACTGGTACTAAAATGCAATTTTTAATACACACGTTATATTTGGCAATAGTGAAACACACTTAGTCAAACACTTAAGTAAACAACAAGAAATTGGTATCAACATATTGAACATTTTTATAAACAACAGTTTACATATTACAATAAATACAGGCGAAAATAATTTAATAGTATCACAGTTTAAAATTTAAGCATGATTAATTTTACATAATTTTTATACAACACAGAAAACTAGTTTTATGCTGATAAGTTCTTAAGATTTGTTTAGTCGGTATCAAGTATGATTCTCTCAAACCATCGAAACCTTTCTTTATACTGATTGTCATCTATTGAATCTATAACACCTGTGGCTCTAAAAAATGTGTGCCATGAAAACAGTTTGTAGAATTTTTCAAGAAATATATTAGGATACTGCAATTCACATTTCTTATGTGTTGTTCTCTGAATGACATCAATAACTGTTGTGTATAAAATGGATTGTCTTGATGCTGGTTTACATATAGTCAAATGATCTAGAGGTAGCTGATAAAATATACCTCGCCCTAAATCAGCAGAATTCGGAGCAACAAAGTGCATCGGAACTTTAAAAGCTGTCACCAAAGTAGGCATACTCTCTGCAAAACTAATGGTTTCAAAATCGTATTTATCTGCAACTGTCAGGAATTGATTTTGTATCTTTAGAAGTAAAGGAGAGTTTTCTTTTAATTGCTTTACATCATGTGACGGCCACAGCACTGCATCAGCTGCTCGAGGAAGACTAGCAAGAGAAGTACCTCTGTGTGGTGTACTGTAAAATAGAACAGCTTTTGTTTGTTCACAAATCTTTTGCAAATTGTCTTGGCTCTCTGCAGCATCAATAAGAAGTTGTTTCACTATAAGACCACCCATTGAATGGGCTAACCAAATAATGGGCACATTTCTTTGGCCAACTCTGGCATCTATCAAAGCTGGGATCAATTCAATAGCTCTAGTGGGTATATCTGCACTTTGTAAAGGACAACCTTCTAACCATTCTGAAAGGGAACTCCAGTAGTTTACTCCTAAAATTCTTAAATTATTACAATCCTTTGGTAACCAATCTTTGGGCCAGCAATGGGTGTATGTACAATTATCCTCATTTTCCCTAATCAAAGCAATCCTTTTTTTCGTTGCAGTAAAAGTATTTAATGTAGAATCTCTTTTAGCCTCAATTGGTATATCTTGCAAGACAACTTCCATATTTGATAACAAAGATTCTTCATCCATCTCTGAAAAATCATCTAGTACCTGTTTTAGTTCAGGATCCATGTAATTAACACCAACCTCTTCTTCAACACAAGGTTTTCCACATTTAACTTTAGATTTTACATCTGTTATAACTAGAGGGGCATCACATTTAGGATCTCTTTGGCGCCAAGTAACAAACACACCACCTCTCAACCCATGTATTAACAGAGTGTCACACATCTGTTTAGTTCTTGTTCTATACAAAGGATGTAAAAGATATAATCCAGGTCTAAAACAATGTTCCCCAGAAAGGTTTGCAAGACATACAGCAGCAGAGCTGCACAAGCGTACATCATCTGATTTTATGAGTCTGCACAGTTCACCGATCAGACCATTTTGAAAGAAATCTTTTAGCAAAACTGTGTGCATACTTATCACAGTAAGGATTTTCAATATACATACATCCATATCAACATCATTACGATATCTTAAAAATATTTCAGCCAAGCGAGGCAACAGATCCATATTTATTAGTGTTGAAGTTGATTTGTCATCAACATAATTTTTAGAATGAAATAATATAATATGATGATATAAAGCATCAAGACACAACATACACAGCTCTCTTTCACTTATTACATCCGGTTTAGCAGGAATATTGTCAGCCTCCATTGCTTGCTCCTGAAGATTGGCAAAATATTTAGACAAAAAATATTTGATACAACTATGTGGGCTTATCTTTTGAACGCCGACAATCATGTCACGCAACTTGAAAGACATGAACTCAGAAGATAAAGCTGCTCTTCGTACATGAATTGGCGGTGGTAAAAAGTATCGTAAATCAGCTCCCTGAGTACGAGCAAGTAACACTGCAGTGTTCATATCGAGAGCTTGAGCTAGTTTTAAGCACTCCCATTTCTTATTATTCTTAAAAGAAGCTAAATGCTGTAGTGCGAGATCGCGTTGTTCTTGATTTCCGTGACGACACAGCCATAGAAGTCTGGATGCCAAAGAATCCCTCAAACTTTTCCAAATACGAGATAAGCCCACCGATTGCCTTGTCTCTACACTTTGTACCATTTTCAAATCAAATTTTGGATCATCAATATATATATACTCTGGTGTATACTTTTTTTCCGCGTTAAGGACGTTTAGATTGATAATTTTGTCTAGAGATCTACATGTCTGTCGAATATGATAAGTTAATAACACGGCGCATCCACCAATCAACGAAATGATTTTAAAACCTTTGATTAAACGCTTAAATCTATCATCCATATTGATATCATGATAAAAGTGAATTTATTATTTTACAAAATTCAACATAAGCACTGACAGTTGAAATTTGATCATTGACATTGATTATTGTTTGACATTTGAAAATGTCAACGATAACTTTTAAAATAATTAATACAACGGCTATAGCAATGGTACTGCCAGAAAAGTTAAATTGTGTCTAGAAATAAAATTAAAAAAAATAAAGAAGAAAACCTCTTAAAATAGATTATCCTATATTAAATAATGTAAAGATTTTTCAATGTGGAAACTTTTTTTCGTGGTCGCTTTGATTGTACTGATTTTAAAAATTGAGCGCCTTACAAATTTAGATTCATCGCAAAACGATTTTTTCTTGCTGGCGTTTCAAGCAGGAAACAAAGCGCCTAAAAATTTAAGAGGCATTTTTACAACGTCGTGGTTATTCCAATGGACAAAACAGCAGTGTAACGTTATCAGTAAAAATAGACAAAACATACAGACGATTTGAGAACCAGTTCCTTTTTGAAGTCTTTAAAAAAAATTTAGTGTTTCTGTTTTTAAACCTTACTCTAATTTTCATTTTTTTAGGTAAACATACTTATGGAGTTTTTGAAAATAAAAACATTTCATAATTATAATTTATTTAAAAAGAAACAAACTTAAATTTATAAAATTACATCTAAATTGTGTCATGTTAACGTACATACAATATCCTTTGTATTTAATTATAGATATGTTTTGTCTTAACTAAGTAAAATGACTCACAATTTCTCGTTAATCTTCAATAATCTAGCAAATCACTAAAAATTTATGTAGTAAGTAGTAAAGGTATCATATCGTTCTTAAACTATTGTGTACTTCTTTGCATAAATCGTAACATATTTTCATATAAACTATGAGCTTTAAAATGTAATTATTTATATGCTTGACAATTAAAAAGAAAAAGGTCAGTTGTTTTTTTATACAATTCTACATCACACTAAAAAAAAAAGAATCGAAATTGCATAACAAATTTGAATATAATGCTTATCGGTTAAACAAAACAAACTCTTTAAATAGTTGAGGCCAAATTTTTAATGATCATTTGATTTGCTTCTTTATATCTACTTTTTATTCATATAATTACAAAAAAATAAAGATATGTAAGCAGCACATTTGTTTTTAAGCAGTCATAGTAAGTGAAATATATTAAAATATTTTTTATGAAAACTTAAGAAATGTCAGTTGCTTGAGATCGTGATTTCATGCGCTGAAAACTCTTGTACTATCTTAATAGCTAAAGGTAGTGTATGAACACTTCAGATATAGAAATTAATCTCATAATATTCTATCTCATCCACATATGTAATACCATTCAAACGTAACAACTACTATACTCGAAATCAATATAATATAGAAAACTTATTATAAGTACTATATATTCTTAAATTGTTTAAATTCTCACTATTATCATTTATTACAGCAATCTTCATATGAGATTATTATAAATCAGACTGATAAATGTATAAATTGGTATTACTTAAGCTTAATAACATTTGAATACAAATAATGATTTCTCCCGCCATCTCCAAAGTTTCTGCATTACAATAAGATATCTTAATTGTCAAAGTCTTGACAAATCCGAAATTATTCGAGATTTCTACGGTCAATATCAATTGATTGAATAAAATCACGGCACGAAATTTGTGATGTGATCATATCATGTGATCATAGTATGAGTGTACAGTGGTTGATGTTGAAGGAGGTGGGACAGGCGGTGGTAAAGAGGTGGGCGGAGGACCTAGGCCCGAGAGTGGGGTAGATGGCTTGCGGTCCGGCGGCAGGGTCGGCAGGGATGTGGTGAGATGATGCCCGAAGCTACCGAGGCCGCTGATAGATGTCGCTGTCAGCGTACCGCCTGATAGCATCTGTTGATGAACGCCGCGCATTCCTGCAAACATCGGCGCCGCACCTGGATAAAAAAATATTTTATTACTGTTCGTCCAATGGTAATATTAAATATATTAGGTGTCTTTCGCAGAATCAAGCGCCATGTAAATTGCTTCATAATATCTGTAATACACATGTAAATATATTAAGGACCTTTATGGCCTTTTTTACAACGTCGAAGTAAGTCCTGAATAAATTGGACCATATTTCTCAAATAACGTAGCCGTTGCCGTTTCAATGTTACTTCTTACTAACATTATAAATGCGAATGTTTGGATAGATGGATGGATGTTTGTTACAAGGTAGGTAAGGCGCTGACAGAGGCCGGTGATTTTGGAAATGAATAATCAATGTAGCTACCTTCAGATTTTCAATTTAATATCAAATGTTTTAAAAAGTTATTTTTTCATTTGTTTTATAGAGAAAATGAACTAACCGTTTTTTTATTACTGTACCGCATCATCCTTTCCCTATTGTACTGTAGCGTGTAATAAATTATTAGTTTCTTTCTTACATTTTTTCGGATAAACAGAAATAGCACATGATGCGTGAAATCCTGAGTTTCTTACGTTTGAGATTAAACTGTACCCATTTTACTTTTATTCGTACTATACAAAACAGTAATCTAGCGAAATAGCAATAATCTACAATGTTTATTTTACCTTCAAAAATTATTAATAACGCTCCAGGGAAGAAGATGAATCGAATGATACATCACTCGTCCAAAAAGCTCCAGTCGTTTACACTCTAGGCCGAGACATTGGAATTTAAACACATACATAAAAAACTTTGGTCAGTCGTGTAATAAAAGGGTAAGTGAAGACATGACTGAAAACGTTGCCATGATATCATTGGTATCTTGTAAAGGTTTCCTAAATGTGTCATTTACAAGCTATATTAAACAAAGAATGTTTTAACTATACCGGATACTAATGGCTAGAAATGAGAAAAAGCGTTAACCAGAACTATAGAATTGTCTGTATGAAACATGAAATTATTTTAAAGTAAATACAAAGTTGTTTTATGAAATAATTTTGCTCGAAATCAAAGGATAGAGTAAAATAAAGGCGGTCTTATACGGCGCGTTGGCTGACAACGCGTTGATTCATGTAACGGCTGCGTAAAATTATATAGCTACATGTTTCATGTGAAACGTGTAGCCGTGCCCAGGCCAGCTATAATTGCACGGCCGCGTTCCCATCGACAGCTTCTCGCCTCGCCTCGCCTCCACTCGCTCGCCTCGCCCTGCCTGCCGCTCATCCGTTGTCGGCCACGTGGAACACTCAAATACCTAATAGCCGTAATTTAAACAAACCTCCCAATTCGACGATTTTAGGAATAAAATCCTACTGGGAGCTTCTATTTTCTCAGAATCCCAACACGTGTTAGGTACTCGAACTGAATAATAATTTTATGAACGACGATCCCGGCTATATTTAAATAAAAAACTTTGATGGTAAATAAAGGAATAGCCGAAACCATCCGCCTACATCGAAGATTTAAAAGCGGCGAATGTGTAATTTCTTTCGATAAATGACTTACAATTTGGTGATCGAAAATTAAAGTGCGCACTCAGTGAGCTCGCGCGCGTTCTGGTGTATGTCATCACTTTCCAGATCGTGGTAGCAAGTCGAGGGCTTTGGCGATGGGATAAATTGCTCCAAGTTGAGCGGCGATGAGTGACGCGCGCCGGGGCCACTCGTATCGTATCCCACCCGTTTGCAGTGCTCCCATCGTTTAACTATAGATTTATAGTTTTTTAAGTGGTGCGCTCAGGTAAGGTGGGAAATAATAGAGGGTAATGAACTGTCAAAACAAAAAACAACAAAACGCACAGAGAACTCGCATAAATCGCACAGCAAGTAATGATAATGAACAAAATAAACTTTTTTATTATTTGGAATGATCGCCAGCGATATATGTGAATCCTGAATGCCGGATATTTGTGGTGCGCGTGGCAGTCAAAATATTTTAATGTCACTACAGCAATAAAAAGAAGATAATTCATTTTATATTGATGTTATGTGCTCCTAATAAATTGTTTTACGATGCCGGGGCGGGTCGAGTGATAGTTTTTATTTCCGATATTATTGCCAGAGTTAAACTGTATAAAGCGATGGTTCATTTGGTTAGTTTTGGCATTAAGGATTCACCGGGACGCAATACATCAGATAATCTACAATTGTCGTGTAAAATATACTAAGGATACGACATCTTCTTTCGTACACAGTTATCACCATAGACAAACATCGGTACCTTTGTATACCTAACACGGCATTGTTTGTTCACAAGTCAATAATCATCACATTATTTTCTCAATTCGCTTTTATTTTAAGTCAGCTAATTAAATATTTGTACCTGTTGTAAGAGATCGCGAAGGGAACATTATTTCAGGTCACGGACGATGTAAAATTTCGAAGATAATCTGGTATTGCGCCTCCGAACCATCCTAGATCAAGCAAAATAATTTAATTCCTTAATAAAACCAACAAAATGAATGTACAATTTTAGTGTCAACTTTAAATAGTTGAAGTTAACCTGAAGTTGTTGAAATAAGTTTAAGTTGACTCGAAATAAAGTTGCCAAAATTAGCTGATTGTCAAAGTCGTTCATTTTCCATAGTTAAAATTAGTTTTTTTTAAATATATGTTTAAGAGTAACATAAAAAATATTCAAGATGCTTTTCCCATTGTCATACGGTGTGATGGACCACGAAAAATTTAAGGTTCAATAACTGTTTAATTAAATTAATTGACTAGTTATAATTTAGAAAACTTTATGGCGTAGTATATCACGTAAAAAGTTTAAGAACTTTTCATGTAGGGTTAGCATTGTTTTCTGATATTATGTATACTTTAAAAACTTTGGTATTCCTTATATTCTAACTGCTAGATTCCACTGATAAAACACTCAATCAGAAACATATTTCTCATGTCAAAACATGTTTGTAAAGAACAGAGATAAAATGTTTTTTTATTAAACCGATTCGATTTGAATGGCTGAATTAATTTCAACATTTTAATTTTTTTTTACAATAACGAAAATAAAAAACACACAAACCATGGGTTAGTAAAGTCACATTTTATTTAAAGATTGCGTCATATTGAGTTACAGCTATAAAAAACAAGATAAACAAAGATGTATGGTTGACGGGGTAAAAGGGTGAACTGCAATCATTTTGTTCCGGCGGCCGGAGTCGGGGATTAGTGTATTTTTTATGTATTTACAGTAACTAGTCGGGTGCGGAGTTTCAGAGCGGGTCGTGCAAGAAGCTTCATACAAATAACGTGCTATGCCGCGGACCGCACACATCGCGTTAAAACTGTAAAATGCATCGATCTCCGTGTCAATTACACTGACTATTTTTAACGCACGTTTACAACGGTTTCTAAACTGATGCCGATATAGCGCTACTGCTTGCGCTATATTGCGTTATTTAGTCTTATTACTTATGTATAAGTATCATCCAATGTTAAAACGCTGCTTTAAGTATTGTAAAACCTTAATTGGCTAAGCAATATAATTAAATAAGATTTACAACTACCTGTCATCTCTTTACGTATCAGTGGGCCTAGCACGAATATTTGTGACATGCGCCATCGTATTGTCAACCACTTTATATAAAAATTTGTGCAGCGCCTCTATCAGGCATAAAGAACACGAAAAAATACTATTTTGACATAATTAACGATGACGCGAAGGCGCTAGTCGCAAATATTCGTGCTAGGCAACTAACTATAAACACAGAAAAAGCAATTGGTGATGTCAGGTGACACAAAAGTTCAAGCTGAAAATTTGATGAAGCCACAAAACTTTTTATATCATTTACTATATTTATTTTCGTGGACCATATGTCAATTCGTTACTTGTTAGTATTGGTATTATTGTCTACTATCGTATTCTGGACAAAAAACCATCCTAAATAGCCTGTATAGATGATGATAATTTTATTATAACACGGGTAGAAAATATTTTTTTCTATCTTTGTCAGTTGATAATTTTTTTCTTAATTCTATACTAATCCATTAAATCATTTTGTCGTCGGTCGTGGAAGTTTTATTTGAATGCAAGTAAACATTAGGTATCAGTTATAATTTTGAACAAGCAGGATGACCTCACTTAGCGGGTTAACCGTGAGCTGAAAATGAAATCTAAAATGGCGGAGAGACGGGCGCCTTCTACATCCAAGACTGAATTAAAACTTTCAAACACATGTCAGTTACGCTAAATAAAAAAATGCTCATAAACGGAGCACCTATAGCCAGGAATAAACATTGTATCAAGGTTGTCGTTCTTAAAAATCATTCTCGTCTTTTTCTTTTTCATTAAAGCAAGCTCGCGTCCGAGTTCCTCCGTCGGTATTCTTGAAATACCTATTGCATTTATAAAGATCAAACGGCTCGAACAAACGGGCGTATGTGTAAACAGATCATACGTGCCTACGGGCGTACAGGCGCTCGGCCGGCGCAGGCGCAGTCACCATGGCGCGTACGGAAAGTAACACGCCATTATCTCTGCGTAAACCGAAACATATCACCCCGCTCTCGACTTGCCTTAGTTTTAAATTTAATCGACTTCAAATAACAAGGCGTAGGCTATCAATACAGATAAGTGCTTACATACATTTTTATGAACAAGCACGTCATTCGTTCCAACGCTGCTTCGATGACGTTCCCCATGAGTGTCTTTCAATTTAACTGATTTGTTTGAATTTCTAAAATGATAATTGGTTTCATTAAGCAAAAATGTAGGGAGTGGATAAATGAACTGGTGTTTGATATGTATCTTTCAAAAGAAATATTTTAACATAAACACGTACACAACTTAGATTACTTTGCTGATAGAAGAGCTTTGTAATGTTATTATATTTAAAATCAAGTTAATAGTTAGTTTTATCAGTGGCGAATAAATATTCAAATCTATTGTCGCAATAAATAACAGTAAAATTATTTTATATCCACACCCAAATGGGCATTAGGTTGTTGAAAAACAACATAGAAGTCAACGCAGGGTAAGTCGACC